CTTCAGTTTAGAGGCAGTTAGCACCATTGTGCTAATGATAACTATAGTTAGGTCAGCCACCATAGACCCCCAAATCATAATTTTTCATAGTCTTGTAGTGGACTGTATCATGATACTAGATAATATCATTATATCAGTTAGCTTTTGCTACATTAATAAACATTCCAAATTGCTAACCTACAGAATTGAGAGATGAGTTTTGGGATGATTTGTTAGTACAGGAGATTAATAAACAAATCCTCAAACATCTTAGTAGTTGTGTTGTATAGGTACATTCATAATTGAGTTTTTGTCTTCTTTAGATTAATCTAATAGCTCCTCCTCGGTATGTGATGACCACGACAACCCTGGAGAGGACAGAAGGTCTCTCTGTCCTCAATCAAGCTATGGCTGTTATCAAAGAAAAGATTGAGGAAAAGAGGGGTGTGTTCAATGTTCAAATGGAGGTGAGTTCAGTGCTTTCATTTTTCCTTTGTTCTTAAAGTTTGTAGGAAACTTGAGTCACCTATAAATGATTTTTATTCCAAAATACCTGATCACTGCCTTTTGAATATATTTAGGATTGTAAATCTACTAAATATAGAATGATCATTGATTCAGAGAGTTCCTAAAAAGGGCTTTATAGATAATAGAATGTTTTTGTGGGATGGACATTCAGGCCTACATTCACTGATGATGTTACATCAGTAGAAATGAGAAAATAGACAGTAGAAATGAGAAATTTATTGTTAGAATTTGAATGTGGGATGTTTAAAATTGGACCTTAGAATTAGGAATAAGCTCTTGTCTTTCCCTCAGCTCAACAAGAATTGAAACATAATTTCCATACTATGTACTTGTGTGTATATATGTATGATTCTTTCTCTGAAAAGGAACAGTAATTTATTTTGCCCAGAAGATACATTCTTTGTAAGACATTTTTGGTCTTGGAGTAATATCCACTGATAACAGTTTTAGATTATAAAGATGATGGAAAATAAAGTTCCATTTTAATACACAGTTCTTTTTCTTGTACTTCTCAAATTTCTTCTATTTTTTAACTAGTAGAATTTGTTAGTGTTAAGTCAACACTCAAAAGTGAATAGATATGACAGTTGTTAAGAAAGGAAAGGTTTTTTTAAGAGTTAAAATTAGCCAGGTGCACACCTGTAATCCAAGCTAATCGGGAGGCTGAAGCAAGAGGATCACAAGTTCGGGGCTAACTTTGGTAACTTAGCAAGACCCTCCTCAAAGTAAAATTCAGAAAAGGGCTGGGGATGTAACTCAATGGTAGACTGGCCCTGGTCTGAATCCCCAGTACTGGGGCAGGGAAAAGAGTTAAAACATTAAGCAATGGTAGTATTGAAATTGAAATTGAATTTGCTATTTAACTACTTTGAAATTATGCCTCTGCTTCCACAGCCCAAGGTGGTCACAGATACAGATGAGACTGAACTTGCAAGGCAGCTGGAGAGGCTTGAGAGAGAAAATGCAGAAGTGGATGGAGATGATGATGCAGAAGAAATGGAAGCAAAAGCTGAAGATTAACTTTGTGGGAAGCATAGTCTAATTTGAGGAACATGACTTGGCTGTAAACCCTAGACTTGAAAGTTTTCCAGTATTGAAAACTTCAAAGCCGAATATTTTTTATTTCCAAGTATTTAAGTATTCCAACACTGTAAAACATGAAATGTCCTCCTAAATGTCAGCTGTTTTCACACAGTAACTCTGACACGTTTTTTAAGGGAGCAGCCCAATTTCACGAGAGAAAATCTTTGAGCTTAGAACAGTCCTAAAATTGGGCTTGTGATTTCCATTTCTGATGTCTCCAGATTGGCACCCTTTGTAGTTCAGTGCCTCCGTGAGATTTACCAGGGGCCCCCAAAATAAACAATAACAATCCCAATCTTTCTATATAAAATGTATTAAAGCAAACATCAAATAAATTTCTGGGATATTTAACTATAGGCCTCTTCCTTCTTGTCACCAGTTAAAAGCATTCTGAATGATAAGACCCTAATTCTTTTATCTTTATTTTGGTCTAGATGCAGAAATATAAGAGCAAGTTATCAAAGGATATGTACAACAAACCCTTTTAAGAGAAAATGATTTTAACTCAATCACAGTGGTATTGACCCTTAGAGGGTGTAAAGCCTTAAAATGCAATTAAAGAATTACATTGTTATGTGCCTTTTAACCTATTTGAGATTGATGACAACTTGTGGTTATGAGAGTTTATGATACTGGGTCCTTATTGATCTACTAACCACTTGCCTTGAGTTTGATTCAAGATGGTAAAGTATGTTTGTATTTAAAGATGCTGCTTCTTTGATTTACTTATTTTGAGTATCATTACCCAACTTTTGATATTTTTTCACCCCCTTTAAAATATCTGCTAGGTACCACATAGATCTTTGGTTCTCTTTATAACAGAATATAGATCTGTCTGAATGCAGTTATAGTGGGTTTTTGGGGTTTTTTTACATTTTATCTTCAAGAACTAGTTGTTATAAAAGTATATGCACAAAATTAATTTCACAGGTAATATATCTGATGGTACAGCTACAGTAGTCGGGTGTAGAAAATCTTGATTTACTTTGGTGTGTTTGTAGATTTAATCTCTTAGGATATTTGAGGTACTAGTTATTGAACTTTACTGCTAGCCCTAAGAACATCTATTAAAACATAGGTCAGCCGGGCACGGTAGTGCACACCTATAATCCTAGTGGTTCAGGACGCTGAGACAGGAGGGGCTCATGTTTAAAGCCAGTCTCAGCAGCTTAGCAAGGCCGTAGGCAACTCAGCAAGATCCTGTCTCTAAATATATGTGGCTCAGTGGTAAAGTGCCCCAAACAAAACAAAACAAAACTCTGCAGATCAATCTTAACTCATCCTAGTCAACCCAGGACTAGATGTAACTCATTAAAGCTTTTGGAGTTGGGTGCTCTAGTGTACAGCTATAGTCAGACCTGCTTCAGGAGGATTACTTAAGCCTAGGAGTTTGAAGCCAACCTGGGCAACAAAGTATGATCCTATTTTTTTTTTTTTTTTTTTTTAAGGGGAACTGACTAGAAAATACTTAGAAGAATTTATTGGTGAAAGAGTTTCTGCCAATTATGAAAGTTAGTCCGTTTGTTTACTTTGTCAGGTTGTGTGAGCTTTTTAATACAAAGACTTAACTTCAGATGGCCCATTCCAAGAAGTTTGCCAGCCAACATGCCACATGGGGAATAGAATCTGGATGTATTAAAGATTGACACAAAATTTTTACTTCTATATTTGAAACATCAAAGAAAGTTGTATAAAAATTCCTAGCATCAAAATGTTACCAAAATACAACAGGTGCTCCTTTGGTGTATGCATGGAAATTGAATTTTTTTTTGTTTACTGAAGTTTTCATACTTTGAAAGCCATAACTGTTGGAAAATATTGGTGGTTTCCATGGTGACTGATTTTTTTTTTTATCCTATGTGGGCCTTTTGCTCAGTTCTGCAACAATTTTGTAAATTGTTTACCCTAGCCAAAGAAAGGATCAGTGTTTCACTGATAAGAGGACGAGAACAGACTAAACTAAAGTGTCTATATGCTGACTTAAAACAGGGACAAGATACATGAGGACAAGGTAAACAACATATTCCTGAACAACTCTAACAGGACAGACAATGACAGTTGAGCAGCCTATCCAAATCCTAATTCTCCACCAAAGCCTTTTCATTGAAAATATTCATGGTTACCTGTTTATTCCACCTCAGCCTCTGTGGTCAAATGGTTAGTTCTGACAACCAAATTAGCAACAGGTTGAGTCTTGTTTGTGCATACCTTAATTGAAAATGGTGAAAAGGAAATAGGAAGGTTTGAACTTCTTTTATTTTTATGGATTTTATAGCAAGACAAGCTGATTCTTATACAATGTTCAGATACTTTGGGGAGCTATAGAGATGTTAATCACTATCATGCTAAGCAGAGTTATTACTCAGCTGGCATACTTCAGCCATTTATAATTCACGTGTACATCAAGAACAATTTAAATGGTAGGGATTTTTAAGAAGCTTTAATGCTAGTACCATTTCGCTGATTTGCCTCAAGCTGAAGGTCACCTACTTTCCAATTCTTAGAAATCCTATTTCCCATGTAAAGGCACCATTGTGCCAATTTTGAGATTGGGCAGTCATTAAACCAAGTGTACTTTAATTCAGATAAGCACCAATCAATACTCAAAAAGCAATAAACGCTTTTTAAAAATTGTTTTAAAGCAATAAAATTCAATAGACTTTAGACATTAGCAAAAGGCCAAATAGAAAATGGTGCTTTAAAGGGTAGGAATAAGGTAAAACAGCTTGGACTCCCCAATCCTGGTCAGTTATTATGGGACAAAATTAATAGAGGAGACGGTTCAGTCTTAAGAGGACAAGTTTTTATTTAAGCACTATGGAAGTAGCCACTCCCCTTAAATATAGGTTACATATTTTATTTATTCATTGAAGTCCAAGCACTTGTACTTGGCAAGAACACTGGCAATGGCTTATGCCAGATCACTGTATAAACTTGAAAATAATAAAAATGTTGTTTAAAAATACTATGATACAGACTTTTCACTATTTTAGGTTAATCTCCCAACTGGGGGTGTTCGTTGGTACCTATTTGTCTCAGTGTTCATTCTAAAACCAAAGTTTCTCCAGGAATGGAGATGCAGGCCTATAACCCCAAGGAGGCTGAGACAGAAGGATCACCAGTTCCAGGCCAGCCCCAGAAACTCAGTAAGACCCTGTCTCAAGAAATAAGGACTGGAGGTTTAGCTCAGTGGTAAAGCACCCCTGGATTCAATTTGCAGTTCAAAAAGTAATGTACCTCAGAGGTAGAATGCTCCTGGGCAAAAAAAAAAAAAAAAAGTCTTAGTGACAGATCACTTGAAATGTTTCCATACTCAACTTATGAAACCTTTGAAAACTATAAAACTTTGTTTAGAAGTTAAAAGCAGAAACAAATGTTGATTTGCATTTGAAAAAAATAAGATATTGACATTTCAGAGAAAGCTACTTCGAGAGTAGAATTTTATTTATTACAGAATGGCCAGAGTTTCAAAAAGGATGCATGACGCACTGGGTTTGACCCCAGCACCACATTAAAAAAAAAACTAAATATACAGAGAGTTCCAAAAAGGGATCCAAGGACATAGCTGTCTATCCTGATGGGCAGAAGTCAAGATACTGATGCCTAATGGCTGTCCTAGAATAGCTTTCCAGGTTGGTAATGGGAAAATAGAGAAGGAAACAGCACCACCACTGGCACCTGAGGAATTCACTCCAGCAGTCTCACTCCAAAGCAGTGCAAAATGTATAATGTTAAACTTTTTTTTTTTTGATGCTGGAAATCAAACCCAGATCCACTGAGCTCCATCCCCAGCCCAACATGATAGTCTTTACACACTCCATTCTCAGGAAATCCTGTCTATCATCTGGTAGGAGGAAGGAATCCTGGTCCTGCTCCCCAAGAGTCTTGTCATGTCAGCTTTTTGATAGCTTCAATCCACTCTGCTCGTTCAGCCTTGCTGCTGGCCTGGATATAATAATGTATGTCATCCTTAGTGATCACTTTGAAGAGATTTCCTTGGACATTCCCTTTAACCCCTAGGTAGGAAAAATAAATCAGTGATTAAATATCCATGTCTACTTTCAGCTTGAACCAGATGAAAGTCATCTGAGAAAGGAACAAATAGGAATATTTCTTATGTACATGGTTAGAAAATCCCATGAGGTGCATGTTTTTGCCTTCTCCTTCCTTCTCCCTCCTCATCACCTTAAGGCCTGCTATTGGTTGGTCTGGACATTTCCTGGAAATCCTCTCTCTGGCCCCTTATGCTAGCCACAGACCTACAGTGTCATTCAAAGAATCATCCAAGAATCCAGTATGTGAAAGTTAAGAGCAGGCACAGAATACGGTGTCTGACTTGAAATTGTATGACTTTGAACCTCAATTTCCACATCCACAAAATGGGACTATCTTCCTACCATAGCTGTCTGTTGTAGAATTAATGTGATAACAGATACAAAAGTGCGCTACTAAATGAAGAGCCGAGCTATGATTCATAGGTAGGAGTTTATGGGCAATCACAGAATGTGAGGAAAGAGAATATTTAAAATGAGAAATATTGAGTTGTATCCTTAAAACTCTTAAGAACATGCCATATGGACTTTTCCTCTGTTTCTGAAATTGACTTCAAAACTCACACCATTCATTGTCTCATTGATTAAAGCCCTACTCAGCACCCAGAGCTCAGTCTTCCATGGCAGGAGAGGGGGATTACTGAAATGCAGAGGAAGGCCCCTGAGATCTTCAGGCCAGGACTGAAGCTGCACCTTACCAGTGGGAACGCCATTGTCCTCCAGAGCAGACACCAGTGAACCACGAAGAGAAAACCCACCCACTGGCCTGTTCTCTTCCTGCAGAGAAAAAGAGATCTAATTAGGAATTTTGCGAACGCACAAAAAGGAAGAATTGCACTCTCCCCTATAATCATCCTCAGGACAGTTAAAGAAGGATTCCAAGTTATGTGTAGGGCGGGGGGTGTAGATCAGTGGTTGAACGTTTGCCTGCTGGGTTCAATTCCCAGCACCGAGGGAGTCGATAAATTGTAATAGATGAGGCTAAATTTGAGGCATCATGTGTCCAAGTTACTACCAGTAAGGAAGTTTGGGCCTCTTCCTTTCATACCCAGTAGCAGGAGTGCCACCAACATTTCTGTCACCAGGTCTAGCAGAGTTAAATATCAAATCTGTTTCATTCTTGGAGATATCTCAAACTGAGCCTCTGATCCAGTACTACCAGGAGAAACATGCACCAGTTCGTTAACCTTCTTGTGTGTCTTGCCAAGCAATCAGAAAAAGACATAGTCATACTTCTGAACACTGATATTCCTGCATAGGAGACACGGTTATACAAGTCTCTGGTACATGGTGGATATGAAACTGAATGAAGCAAAAGTGGCTTGTCGTATCTCTGAATGGTTCAGACAATTACACATCAGGAGCCTCAGCCCCCTGGGTCCCTTCAATTAATCAATAATGAATTTCACAATAAGTGGTGTAGGCAGCAAGAAATAGGGCAAAAATGAAATTGTTAAGTAACAATGCCAGAGATGATGATACTGATCATGCTAAGGAAGGGACAGTCCAGAGGAAGAGGAGATCCACACCTAGAGGGATGGAGCAAGGGCAGCCTCTGGGGGAAGACCTGAATCAACCTTGAGAAGTGAGCCCTGGGTGCGGCAATGGGCAGAGAGCCCGTGCAGGAGGAAGGGTGAAGGCAAAGCCAGGGAGAAATTAAATTGTCTTTAAGGAATGCTGACTGGGCTTCTGTAAATTCATCAAGGGACAGTAGTTGTCCCTTGGACTGAGTTAAGCAAAACTGAAGTTTTATTTTATTCTTTTTGTTGATTGTTCCCCCGCCCCCAGCTTTGTAAAAAATTGATGAGCTAGGGGTGTCGCTCAGTGGTAGAGCACTTGCCTCACATGCTTGAGGCCCTGGGTTCCCTCCCCAGCAGTGAAAAAAAAAAAAAAGGACTTGAGGTAGCCACAGAGAAGTTTGACCTTTATCCTATAAGTAGGCTTGAGATCAATGTGTGGGGTTTTGTTGTTGGTTTTTGTTGTTGTTGTTGTTTGAAGAAGGTGTTGGTGTTATTTTGTGTTTTGGATACTGGAGATTGAATCCAGGGGCACTTTACCACTGAGCCACATCCACAGCCCTTTTGATTTTTTATTTTGAGACAGACTCTCACTAAGTTGCTTAGGGCCTCGCTAAGTTGCTGAGGCTGTCTTCAAACTTGAAATTCGCCTGCCTCAGCTTCCTGAGTCACCGGGATTACAGGTGAGTACACCACACCCAGCTTCAACTGTGCATCTGGAAGGCTCATTGGTTGACCCCTCAGGCAGCCCTCCTGCCATGTCCCTCCTTGGTCCTTGACCCCCCTTATGGCCTGACAGAGCACCATAGGCTCTTACCAGCTCTGTGTTTAGGGTAGGGGTTCCTGACTGAAACTCTTTACTTTTTGTGTTTTTGTGTTTTGTTTTGGGGGCACTAAAGATTGAGCTCAAAGCTTCATGCTAGGAAAGCACTCTACCACTGAGCTACGTCCTAGCACTTTTTTTATTTTGAGACAGGGTCTCACTAAGTTGTGTTGCCCTGGCCGGCCTAGAACTTGTGATCCTCCTGCCTCAACCCGGAGAGTATCCGGGATTACAGGTATGAGCCACTACAACCCAACCACTCTTCATTATCTCAAAAAAAAAATGAAAATCATACATGTACCAAGATAAGGCTGAGCGGCCTGCCTTGACTATAAGACCATTCATTTTTTTTTTAGATCAATTCAGCATGAGGCTCTACTTATTTTCTGAAATTCAGAGCAAGCAATTCTTGGATCTATGAAAAAAAAAAGAAAACAAGTAAATTATGGCTTACATATAATAAAAAGAAATGGAGTAGCTTGGCATAGTGGCGCCCCCTGTAATCCCAGCAACCTGGGAGGCTGAGGCAGGAGAAATGCAAGTTCAAGACCAGCCTCAGCAATTTAGCAAGACCTGTCTCAAAATAAAAAGAACTGGAGAAAAGAATGTAGCCCCATGGTAAAGCACCCTTGAGTTCAATCCCCAGTACAAGAAAGAAAACCAGGAAAGAACAGGAAGAAAGAAAATAAAAGAAATGGTGGCCCATGCCTGCAATCCCAGGGACTCTGGAGGCTCGGGCTGGAAGATCACAAGCTTGATGCCAGCCTCAGCAACTTAGCAAGGCCCTGTCTCAAAATGAAAAATAAAAAGCTGGGGATGTAGCTCAGTGACACAATGCCCCTGGGTTCAGTCCCAGGTACCACACAAAAAAGAAAAAAAAAAAAGAAAAGAACGAAAGAAATGTTTCAAAGCATAGGGGAGAACAAGGAGTTGAAGTGGCAGAATCCATGGGCTCTTCAGATGGCAAAGGGGGAAGAGGCTGGGAAGCAGGCTTTAGGGAAAGTAAAAGATGTTTTTCTTCTCAAAATAATGAAGCTTTTCCATAGTAAGAGGTGGGCACAGAAGAATCCACTTGCTATGCAGGCGACCGCACAGGGAGAGGAAGGAGCAGCTGGCCCTGCAGGGTGAGGGGAGGAATCAGGCCGCTGCTCTGCTGGGAGGTGTCTGGAGGCAGCAGGGCACCCAGGGAGCCACGGCACTCACTTTGGCTGGGTCGTAGTAATGCAGGAAAGCAGGGTCCCTCCTCAGAACAAAGCGTCGCACCTTCCAGTTTTTCCTCTTGTGACCCTGCAGCAAAGAAACGGATCCACGGTCCTTGGTGACAGCTCTCCATCTTCTTCCACTTCCCTGCACCAAACCCCAACAAGCCAGCCTACCCCAATAAAAACCACATTAAAAACAAAAGAGTCTGGCTGGGCACAGTGGCACTGCCTGTATTCCCAGCAACTCAAGAGACTGGGTCAGGAGGATGGCAAGTTCAAGGCCAGCCTCAGCAATTTATCGAGGCCCTGCCTCAAAATAAAAAATAAAAAATGTGGGGCTGGGGTTGTGGCTCAGTGGTAGAGCGCTGCCTAGCACACGTGAGGCCCTGCGTTCAATCCTCAGAACCACATAAAAATAAACAAATAAAATAAAGGTATTGTGTCCACTTACAACTAAAATTTTTTTAAAATCTTTAAATAAATAAATAAATAAAATGTAGCTCAATGATAAAGCACTCATGGGTTTAATCCCCAGTCAAAAATAAAAATAAAAAAATAAGTAAATAATAACAGTCCACAGGACACCTGAAGATTGCAATGATATGTCACAGACTTCACATGACATGACCCCCTGTTCAGTGAGCCTCCTGTAAAAACACCCTCATATTTAGTTGACAGAGCCAAGGACAGTTGGCATCAAAAGGAAGGGGATTGCATTATCCTGACATTACTTGGTGCAAAAGAGAGGGACAGAGGCAGCAGGTGTCAACCTGAACCCAAGGCCACCAACTCCCACCAGCTTTTTAATGGTCAACTTAGTTCAAAAACAAACTACAGCTGCATGTATATTTGTGCATTTTTTACACATGCATACATCTACAGCAAAACCACCATTACATTCTGCATCAGAAAAAGAAGCAATCCATTATAGAACGCGATAAAAACTAAATGTGTAAAAGGTTAATCTGCATGTGTGTGTGGAGAAAGACTCTCTTTGGCCTGAGACCCTAGATCATAAACCTTCTTTAGCCTCTGGCCTGAAAGACACTCATGAGTCTCTCCTGTACCCTCTTCATGCTCCTCCAGGGGCCTCAGTACTGCCCTCAGTAAGGACTCCTGTCAGGCTCAGCAGAAGCAGGGGCCTGGGGTCAACACACAGTTGTGTGGCTGGTAAAGAACCTAAACGCAGACGGGGATCCTGTTGTGCAAGAAGCAGGTCACAAATTTTTGAAATGAAACAATCATGCAGAAGCTGTTTGGGGTTTTTTTGTTTGTTTTTGGTACCAGAGATTAAACACAGGGGTGTTTAATTACTAAATCATATCCCCAGCCTTTTTTTCTTTTCATTAATTTGTTCTGATTAGTAATAAATGACAGTAGAATGCATTTTGACACATCATACATAAATGGAGTATAACTTCTCATTCTTCTGACTGTACATGATGTAGAATCACACTAGTCATGTAATCATTTATGTACATAGGGTAATAATGTCTGATTCATTCTACTATCCTTTCTAACCCCCATACCTGCTCCCCTCCCTTCACTCCCCTCTGCCTCTATTTTTCCCTAGCCACCTCTCTTATTGTAAATTAGCATCCACATATCAGAGAAAATATTTAACCTTTGATTTTGGGGGACTGGCTTATTTCACTTAGCAAGATATTCTCCAGCTCCATCCATTCACCAGCAAATGCCATAATTTTACTCTTCTTTAAGGCTGAGTAATATTCCACTGTGTATATATACCACATTTTGAGGCAGAGCCTTGCTAAATTGCTTAGGCTGGCTTTGAATTTGTGATCCTCCTGCCTCAGCCTCCCGAGTTGTTCAGATTGCAGGTGTGCACCACCACACCCAGCCCAGAAGTTGCTTTTTAGTGCTGTGATGATTCCATGTGTTTATGCTTTTCCGGAATACTCCCCACAACTGGTACACGTGATTGGGTGTGTGATGGTCTGACTGGCTTCTGCAACTGCTCTGCAGACCCTGCTGGTAATGGGGGTGTTCTAGCATTCTCAGCGCCCCCCAGGGGCTCCTTCCTGCCTCTCCTCAGCGTCCCCCTCCTCCCTGTCAAAGGCAGCCATACCTGCTTGGACAGAAAGCCTTGCTTGACCACCAAGCCGCTTAACTCCACCGTGCTCAGACTGATTTCTTCCTTGGGGCTTGGCTTCTTCCTGTAGCTCTCAGCCTAGTGGGAAGGAGGGAGCAAGGACTGTGCTACAGAAATAGCCCCAGGCCCAGGCTTGGGGCTGCAGGGGAAAGACAAAGCTGTCCCCAACCCTCGGCCTCTCCCTGTGCCCATTCTTTCTGCCTCTTCCCTCTCCCCTGGTGGCAAGAGGGGACCCACTAACTTACAAAAGTGTACAGGGCTGTGGAGTCGTCCAGGAACTGCTCAGACAGGTCACCAGAGCGAATGGCTCCCATGCTCCGGACACCCACAGGCCTGAGGAAGTTCTCCTCCATGAGCACAGAGGCCAGCGTCACCGCCTCCAGACGGCTGGCCGCGAAGCTGCTGGAGATGAGCCAGTCCACCAGAGAGGAGCCTGCATCAGGGCAAGGGCAGCACCCATCAGACCACGGGCGCCCACCCACCCTCCTTAGGGTGCTTATCTGTGACCTTCCCCCTCCTCCTAGGCAGACTCGGGCTCTAGCCAAGAGCAGACTGAAGGCTGCACCGGCCACACACAGCTGTGGCCACACTCATGTGGCCATCTCAGGCCAGACCACTGCTCAGCAAATAGCTCTGGTTTCAATATGGGCTAGTCAAGCGCTCCACTGAGCCCCGGGTCCCAAGGGTCCCAAGTGTCCACCACCTCGCCCGGCCCCTGGGATGGGCAGGCTCACCCAGGAAGGTCTTTTTGTAGGTGCTTCCCTGCTCCATGTTGGGGCTTGGCCGGATCCCGCTGCTGCTATCATGCATCTTGTCCACGATGCGGCTGGTATGGAAGGAAGGCAAAGGAGAAGGATCCTCGTCACAGAGAGCTTCAAGGGAGGGCCCAAGAGCCACTGCCAGGGAATAAGGCATGTGGCAAGGGGTGTGATACACACCAGAGGGGAGGGGGCCTTCCATGACGCATCAGAATCTGATAGGATTCTCAGACATTTCTCTTCTCGGGCATCTAATCATCACCCTTGTAGTGAGGCGAAAGAGCTGTGGATTTACTTAAAAGCAACAATAGTTCTGAGGGTATAGCTCAGTGGGAGAGAACTTGCCTAGCATGCACAAAACCCTAGGTTCAATCCCCAGGACAGCAAGACACAAAACATGAGTGTGCAGGAGCCGCCACGGTTCTCTATGATCTGCTGCATTCAGCTCAAATCCTCCAGCTACTTCTCAATGCTGAGCCTCTCTGAATCCAGCCACAACCCACCCACCCAGTCCTCCCCACATGTGCCACGGCTTACCAGCCCCTCGACACACAGAAAGTGCACAGGCCAGGTTTCAGTTCCTGGCATGGAGTTAAAAGCCCAGAATGGACGCACAATGTCTGTGTGTGTGTGTGTGTGTGTGTGTGTGTGTGTGTGTGTGATGGAACCCAGGCCTCACACATCCTAGGCAAGTGCTCTACCCTTGAGTCACTGGGGTGCATTCCCAGCCCACATCCCTCATCTGTGATGGGTGTGAGGGTTTGGCTGCCTGGGAGTGTTTGCAACATTCGTCCCTACTTTATCACCTCCACCTCTGATCAGCTTTCCTTCTGCTCTATGGGACGATCACTCCCTCCAACAGAAGATCTTTCCTCATTTTATGTGTATACACTGGGGTTGGAAGGCCGCAGAGATGAGATCCTGTTTACTCCTACCTGCCTCTGCTAAGCATCCAACACAGTACATGGCATGCAGTAGGCACTCAATAACTATTTATTTTCTTTCTGATTTTAAACATTGGTACATGATAATTGCGCATATTTGTGAGGTACTCAGTAACAGTTTGTTGAATGAATGAACGAGGAACCCCCACCCAGCAAGACTGCAGCTGCTACCAGAAAACATCATCTGTGCCACCAGGCTACAAAAAGACCAGTGACCTGGCTGGTGGAGAGCCCTAAGAAACTGACACAGCCCTGAGCACCTGTCTAAAATGGAGTTGGGGGGGTCTCTACCTCCTTCACAAGGTGGGCAAAAGTGGCAAAGTCCTAAGAGGTTACATAGGAGTGGGGCTAGTGGTTCAGTTCCTTCCCAGGTCAGTATGACCCAAACAGGGACAGCTGACAGCCCTGAAGCACAAGGTGGTCCCAGCCAGGCCTGTGTAGCACCACAGAGCCCCCCTCCCCAAAGACCTCTCCCCTCCCAACTGGGCGCACACGCACAGGAGAGGCTGCAGAGAGGCCAGAGGCTGAAGGGGTGGGGCAGGCAGGGCACTCACTGCAGACTGATGTGAGGGGGCAGCTTGAAGGAGTTTTTTAATATGTGGAGCTGCTGGACCTTCCCGGGCTGCCCTGCATGGATGGCTCCTGTTATCTCGAAGGCCCATGCGTCCCTCTCCTCTCGAGAACAGGCCTCCAGGAAGTACTCTGTGGAAGTTCTGGTCTTCAGCTTAATGAGGAGCTGTGGGAAGAAAGAGTCAGACCGGCACTCAAAGGCACAACAGGCCAGAGCACGCGGTCAGCAGAAACGACAGGGCCAAGGTGGGGTAGTCCAGTGACCGCCTGTGCCCTGGCCCCTTGTCTATACCCCAGTGGTCTGTGAAACTTCGCTCAGACACTTCCAGCAGTGGGGAGCTCAAGGCCTCCAAAGGCAGCCTTTCCCCTTGGGGCAGATTAGTCAGCACAAGGACTGCTTCCAGGACACTGTCCTGATTCTGCCTCTGGGGTCACGCAGTCTCTCCTCCCACGACAGCTTTGCACTGAAATGGGAAGCATTCAGCCTCTGCAGCCAGGCTGAATGGGACCAAGACCCACCTCTGCCCCTTAGCTAGAGATGCTCACTGAGTCTGAGTTTCTTACTAATGGTCACCTTGAATAAAACTGTTAGTGACACCACCTTTGACCCTCTTTTCCCTCCAGTTTAAACATTCCCAGGTCTTTCACACATTCCACTGACATCAGGAGAAAGAGATAAGGCAGGCAGGACTGGGAGATGGGCCCCCGGGCAACTTCCTGGGCAGTAAAGCACAATCAGCACCTGCAGATATTTGCTAAGAAACTTACAAAAAGGTTATTTTAAAATCAGGATCTACGTGACTGGGATCCATGCCTCTCCAAAGAGGGGAAATGCCTGGTGGATATTTTGATGGGCCTAAAGGCTGCACGAGTACCTCATGGACAATAAACACCACACCCAGGATTGGGCAGGGGCTGACTTCCTTAAACTTATATAAACTATATAAACTCCTAGACAAGAGTCACTCTTTGGTATCCCTCTCTTGAGACCCCTCTCTCTTTGAGAGCTCTGCTTTCTTCCTCTTACTCTAATAAGTAATTATTATTACTTATTATTATCTGTTATTTTATTATTAATAATAACTATTAATAATAGTATCAATAATTATTATTATTACTTATTATTTTACTCTCACCCTTGTATCCGAGGTTCTCATTCTTCACATTCATGAAACAAGAACCCAACTCCATGCTCTGTGTTAAGATATGATATAGTTTACACTCCTTCTCAACCAGTTTACTATATTTGCAGTGCTGGGGATCGAACCTGGGCCTTGGGCGTACTAGGCAACCATTCTACCACTGAGCCACATCCCCAACCCTCAACCAGTTCACTCTTGCTAAGTGTTCTGCACATACTGAGCACCCTCACAGATGGCCCACGGAATGGAATGCCCTGCTCCAGGATCTGAGGGGTGCAAAACATCAGAGGCTACTGCCTGGGAGCACAGGAGTGTGGGCAGCTCCGGGCACTGTAGAGTCTTTCATTTTTCCATCTTTCATTCATTTATTTTTTTGGTCCTGGGGATTGAACTCAGGGGCTTACCACTGAGCCACGTTTCCAGCCCTTTTTATTTTCTATTCTGAGACAGGGTCTCGCTGAGTTGCTGAGGCTAGCCTTGAACATGAGCTCCACCTGCCTCAGCTTCCCAAGTCACTGAGATCACGGGTGTGTGCCACTGCACCTGGCACTTTTTAATTTAAATGGGCATTTAAGGAGTTTCTTTGACAAGTTGAGGGATCTTTGTCATCCAAGTAGGCCAGGTCTACCACTTCTGAAACATCCTACTTCATTCTGATTCTGCTTCCCAAATGTCAACTCCCAACTTATTTTGCTTGCAAACTTAATATTCTTCACCTAAACCTAATAGTGAAAATGGTGAATAAGGCATGGCTGGCTCACGGCCCCAAGGAACCCCATGAAGATATTCCTCCAAGTTAACATTCACTCATCAGTATCATGGAAAAAGAGAGTGAAATCAGATCCAGAACCTGTACAGTCAGTCTGCAATTAACCATTTTAATGAAAAGAATTTCAGGAGAGACGAGAAATTAAAAAAAAAAAAAAACTTCTAGGTGCACCTTTTTTTACAGCTTCCGTAATTTTATATATACTTTATGATTTGTTCTTAGTGGATCTGTTGGCTACTCTCAGTCTCTTTTAGTCCAAGTACTCATGAATTAAGCAAATCACAAATCCGCTTGAGAATTTTATGTAGAATTAACATGAAGCTCATAACTCCAGCAAATTTAGCCTGTTTCTCTTTTTTTGAAATTTAAACCATAGTTTTGAACATGAGCTCCACCTGCCTCGGCTTCCCAAGTCACTGAGATTACAGGTGTGTGCCACTGCTCTCCATCCCATCTACCAATACCTCTGCTCTCCACTGTTTCCTAAAGATTATTAAGAGATATCAGGTCAACAAGTTAGCTGGGAGTGGTGGCTCACGCCTGTAATGCCAGCTACTTGGGAGACTGAGGCAGGAAGACTGCAAGTTCAAGGCCAGCCTGGGCAACTTAGTGAGACCCTGTCTCAAAATAAAAATAAAAAGTGCTAGGGGTATATTTCAGTGGTAAAGCACCCCTGGGTTTAATTCCCATACCACAGATACACAAAAAAAGAGGTGGTAGGTCAACAAATTAACCTATGAGTTCAGGGGTTTCATTCATTGCAATTTTTTTTTTTTTTTTTGGTACTAGGATTGAACTCCAGGGGTGCTTAATCACTGAGCCACATCCCCAGTCCTGGCTTTGAACTCGTGATCTCCTGTCTCAGTCTCCCAAGTCACTGGGATCACAGGTGTGTGCCACCATGCCTTTCTCCATAAAGCATCTAAACCATGTCTTCATATCCCCATATCTTCATAGGAGATATTTGGGTGTAATTATCTCATCCCATCTTACAGACGACAATGATGACTGAGAGAGGTTTAACTACTGGTCTGAGGTCAGGTACCTGGGAGATGGTTGAGCCATGACTTGAACCCAAGTCTTTCAATTATAACTCCGAGCTGTTCCCATTACCCACACCACCTTCCCAAAGAGCCAGAGGTGAGGAGTGTCTGGGGTGGGGAGCTGGACAGCAGGAACCTTCACATACCGGACGGTTTTCATAATCCAGGCAGGGGCAGGTGATGGTGCAGCCATCCAGGAGGATCCGGCCCTTGGGAGGGGCCACTCTCCGACCCCCCTCAAGCTTGTAGTACAGCAGTGTGTTCTGCCGAAGGATGAACCATCGCACCTTCCAGTTGTGGACAATGTGGCCCTGTGAACAGACAGGAAAGCCCGAGGTGAGGGAGAGAGGGGAGGACACCATGTTCATGGAGAGTGCTAACCAGATGTGCTATGGAAACAGAGTCACAGCAGTATTTTGGATCTTTTTCAGTCATTTCTTTGGGATATCTGGCAAATACCTTTGGCACTGACCTTCTGATTGCCATTTGGCCTTTTTCTGGTTATAAATTTGTGTGTGTTATGTAGTGTTGAGAGTGGAATCCAGACCTTGCACATGCAGGCAAGTGCTCTACCACAGAGCTATACCCACCATCTGTTCCTGGTCATGAACCTTTAGATAAACTGCAAATTATTAGGAAGAAAAAAAAGTCACACGCCTATCATTCTGCTACTAAGAGACAGCCATTGTTAACATTTGACACTTCCTTTCAGTCTTTTTCCCTTTTAGTTTTCACTTTTAAAAAAAATAGACCATATTTATCAGTGGTAGAGCACTTGCCTAGAATATGCAAGGCCCTGGGTTCAATCCCCAGTTCTGAAAAGAAAAAAATAAATATCATATTACAAGCCAGAAGTGGTGGTGCATGCCTATAATTCTAGTGACTTGGGTGGCTTAGACAGGAGAATTGCAATTTCAAGACCAGCCTTAGCAACTTAGTGAGGCCCTAAGTAACTTAGAGAGAGATCCTGTCTCAAAATAAAAAATTAGCTAAAAGGACTGGGTATGTGGCTCCGTGGTAAAGTGCCCCTGGATTCAATCCGCAGCATCACTCACACACACATAAAAAGACCATATTACATATGGCTTTATTTTCTCACTTTTGTCTTGTTTAGCCTTGCTGAGCATTTTCTCACACCATTATATTTCTTTTTTCATATATATATGAAACAGTATTTATTAGAGAATATTTGGGAAAGTAGTAGGAAGGAAGAAAAACAAATTCATGACCTGCCTTACAAGGTAGTGGCCAGATCAACATTTGAGACACTCATTCCAGTCCTTTTGCTGTATATTTTTAAAAGCACGAACACATGACATGTCAACATGGGTCACCAGCATTTTAAAAACACATCTTCTGACTTTAAAGTGGAAGCGTACACAGAAAATTTGGAAAACACTGAAAAGTGGAAAGGAAATTAAAGTCACCTACCATCTCATTAGTCAAAAGTAACCACAGCTAATATTTTCATACACTTTCTTAGTTGTTTTTATCCATTTTCTTTTTACACAGTTAAGTTTATAGTATACGAGATTCTTCAGTCTAATTAACAAAGGTTTGAAAGCATGATGACAAAGACAGACTTGGGAACAGTATTTGCCCCTCAGATTATCTATATGTTTTTTAAAGAGGCAGAAAATACACAGCCACATCAGTGTTTATAGCAGCACAATTCACAATAGCTAAACTGTGGAGCCAACCTGGATGCCCTTCAATAAATGAATGGATAAAAAAAAATGTGGCACGAATACACAACAGAATATTACTCAGTAATAAAAGAGAATAAAATCATGGCATTTGCAGGTAAATGGATGGAGTTAGAGAAGATAATGCTAAGTGAACTTAGCCAATCCCAAAAAACCAAATGCCGAATGTTTTCTTTGATATAAGGAGGCTGATTCATAGTGGGGTAGGGAGGGGGAGCATAGGAGGAATAGACAACTCTAGATAGGGCAGAGGGGTTGGAGGGGAAGAGAGGGGGGCATGGGGTTATAAATGATGGTGGAATGTGACGGACATTATTATCCAAAGTACAGGTATGAAGACATGAATTGGTGTGAATACACTTTGTATACAGCCAGAGATATGAAAAATTGTGCTGTATATGTGTAATAAGAATTGTAATGCACTCCGCTGTCATATATTAAAAAAGAAACTAAAAAAAAAAGAGGCAGAAAATAAACTAAAAAAAAAAAGAGGCAGAAAATAATCACTCAATGTTCCCTTTCCATTTATAAAGCAATCAAAATATGTATCAGTCAACCAATGGCTGAATAGCATACAGAATATGATTTCCATAATTGGGTGATAATATAGTGTTTTTGAGTTATGTAAACTATGTGATTGTGCATTCATGTGTAAACCTATGTGTATCTCTTCTGTCCAAAAGATTTTATCATTTCCTGATGTAAATATAATTTTTAATTTTATGTTTGCTTTAGATTTTATTTCAATCAAATAAGAGTTACATGTAAGGATGGCCTCACATGAAGCAGATTCACAACTTTGTCATTGACCTACTGTTTATTCTTTGGCTTAATAAAAAAAAAACATTAAACTGTCTTCTATATAAAAAATATATATGTATCAATCAAAAGCCTGAGCTAAATTTCTACTTCAGTGAACCCTGACATGGAATACCACGTTTGTTTATTTTGTGTATCCAAATGGGCATGCACCATTTCATAAGAATATTCCATACACAAAACTTTCAACCACATTCTCCTAGGAAAGATAACACCTGTAGCTTCATTAAAAGCTTTACATGTCTCACAATGTAAAGTCTATAATGTGACTTAAACATTTTGCACACTCAGATTTACATAAAAGAGCTTTAGCAGGAAAATAAAGCATGATTGATAATAGCTCAAGGAGTTCTAATTGGTATAACAGACTTGGCCTTATCAAGTTCCAAAGAATTCATTATCAAAACTACAAACAAACCTTCAGTTGTGTATACAGTTACAAACCTTTACAATAGCTGTCAGGGGAAGTAGCCATGTACGTTTACATGTTGCTGAAGGCAAAGAGTTAGCAAATGCAGACTCCAGAGAGAATGCATGCTCCGCCCTACAGCTTCCTCTTAGACAGTCAGGAAACACTAAATGAAATCATCCTAAAGGAAAATCAGAACACCTTGCTGCCCAGCGTCCCCTCTTCAAAAGCTCTCTGTGAGAGCCCTCAGCTCAACACAGAAGGGCATGTAGTCGTCTAAGGTGATCTTTCCACTGGTGCTGTATTGTTTTGCAATTGAACTCAGTTTGGGGAGTCGCCTCAGCGCCTGTTGTCCTTAGTGCCTTCTGCAATTCTTGAGGATCCCCGGTTCTACTCCTACCACCATCAAAACTGATGAAGTGTTGTCTCCAGTCATTCAATGCAGCCCAGAGTTCTTTAAATTCATTGAAGCCCATCATGCCAAACCTGTCTATATCCACCATTGAAATTGCAAGCTGACAAGTCACCAGGTTAAAAGGTTTGTATCCTCCAGCAATGCACAACTATGGCAGACATCTCTGCAATTCAGCAGCATCTATTTGCTCATCCTGTCCTGCTATAGCAGCAAAGTAACCACACACAGAGGATTCTGCGTTTGTCCTCCGGGAGCCCCTCCATACTTGCCAGTACTCACGGCTGGCACCAGGGTGCCCCCAGGTAGCCTTGGTGCAGATCGAGCTCTACCTCCCCACCCCAGGGCAACTCTTCTTCTCTTCCTCCTTCTCCTCCTTCCTCCTCCTCCTCTCTCCTCCTCCTCCTTCTCCTCCTCCTCCTCCTCTTCCTTCTCCTCCTTCTTGTAGTAGGAATTGAACCCAGGGAAACTTTACCACTGACTTACATCTCCAGTAGTAGGAATTGAACCCAGGGGAGCTTTACCACTGACTTGCATCTCCAGTCCTTTTTAATTTTGTTTTTAATTTAGAGGTAGGATCTTGCCAAGTTGCCCAGGTTGGCCTTGAACTTGCTATCTTCCTGCTTGAGCCTCCAGATTAACTGAGATTACAGGCCTGTGCCACTGTGCCCTAAAATATTCTTTTTTTTAAATATTGCTTTTAGTTATACATGGACACATACCTTTATTTTGTTTATTTATTTCTTATCTGGTGCTGAGGATTGAACCCAGTGCCTCACATGTACAAGGCAAGTGCTCTGCCACTGAGCCACAACCCCAGCCCCCTAGAATATTCTTTATGACTACTCTTCATATGTATAATTTACTTGCCAATCTCCTATTATTTGTGACTGAATTTGTTTTGATTTTTTTTTTTTGCTGTTATAAACCATGCTACAATGAGTATTCTCACACATAAATTTTGATTATGTCTCTAATTTTCTTTCCTTAAAATATAATCCCTAGAAAGAATGTTACTAGTCAAAGGGTCTGGGCAATCTCTAAAGCTGAAGCACCAGTCACTCTACAGCGCTAAGGGACCTGCCAGGCTAGCCTAACCAGCTGCAGCAGGCATACAAGGCAGGTTGTTTGAGATGTTCTCAGATGGGTCAGCATAGTCAGGTGCAGGCAGAGAACTAGTTTCTAGAACATACCAATGGATAGAGGAATTCTGCTGAGGGACTGGAAAGTAGGGTTTGGTACACAGGAAAGCACCTTCTTGGCATATTTCTAAGCAGAACCCAATTTAGAACTATGTTCTAACCTAGAAAGATGAGCTTTATCTGGATCAAAGACCATGCCCCGAAATCACTCATGGCCTTGCCTAGCATTTATTAATATCAAAGACCCCTTCAGTTCCCATATCTGTGGTGCTATGATTCCATTCCATGCTCGGCACATAATGAGAACTATTAGGTTATCAAAAGTTGTAGAACCAGGCACGGTGGCACAGGCCTATAATCCCAGCTACTCAGGAGACTGAGGCAGGAGGATCACAAGTTTAAGGGCAGCCTGGGCAATTTAGTGAGATCCTGTCTCAAAAAAAGAGAAAGGGCTGGGGATGTAGTTCAATAGGAGAGCAGCCTGGGTTCAATCCCCAGAACCACCACCACAACAGAAAAGAGCAGGATCCCTTCCCTTTGTTCCTGACAAAAGGTACATGCAGTCCGAGGATTGACAGTTGTACCTGACATAGGAAGACACATTTAAAGGAACAAAAAAGATGTAAATCTGACTCCTCAGCTGTTAGGGCCCTCTGCTTCTCTCTACATGGTCCAGTCTCTGGTCCTCATTCCCTGGGAGCCCCCTGCTGTGGGGGTCTTGACACTTCTGGCACTAGCCAGGCTGGCCTGGGGCTTCTGGATGCTGAAGAATTCAAGGCAGAAAATGACTGGCACACCAGGTCGTAGCTGGGCTAGGGAGAAG